ATGTTTTTGAAAAATTTGATAAAAATGTTCTCTCCCGTGTAATAGAAACTATTTTGCATCAAAAAACTAGCTACATATTTGATACAAACGTCCTGAGGGCAAAATCATCAAACCCCACACTGCCCTCGTATCTCACTTAATTAGAGATTAAGAAAACGTGCGCGAATAATAGCCGAGGCCACCTGCCCCAGGTACCAACGAAATGGGCACTTTGGTTTTCCCTTTCTCTCTCTTACTTCGTATGAAGAGAAACTATTGTGTTCGTGTGCCGGAAAACGGCGTATTTTCGTCAGAAAAAATTTATTTCCGGGCTCTGGTAACAAAAAGAGGGATAAATGATGTTTTCATTTAAAACAAGCAATATACTTACTTTTAATTCAAAGTAATCGCTGTAGGGTATTATTGTTGTATTGAGAAAAAATCAATTTATGAATTAAGGAGCCGAAATATTAGTTAAAATATGGGGCATGTGTGGATCTACTGCCCCGGACCTGTTGTTTCTTACGGGCGCCCCTGGTAATAAGTGTTCTGATGTTTGAGAAAATTGCAACACATAGAAGGATGTGTCAGAATCAGTGACAAATCAGTGGATGTGTAGAACAGTGTATCCATCAGTGGCGGTTCGTGGTTAGGTCGCACAGTTGCACAAATCCCCAAATAATCGAATAAGATCTCATAATATTTTAAGAATACACATTTTTCTTTTAATGACATTCAATATTGAAGATATTGCTGTAATATCGATATATTTATTTAACACGGCAAACAGGCCTTTTTGGTTGGGCAACTAGACGGGTGTCTAGCGCTGCGCGGTGACTCAGGGAGTCTCCAGGGAATCCTAATATTCTGGCTTCGTCGGTCTCGCTGCAACGTTATTTTATGAATTTCGCTTGTTATTGAAAGTACACAAGTTCATTCAGTTATTGATTTATGCTTATTTAATGCAATATTTATGAATTTTAGAGACTTTTTTTATTTGATATTAGATTTATTGATTTAAAATGTATCATTGATGAATTCTTTGCGTAAAGTTGGCCGTTCTATAAGAAAGTCCCTTTATCGTTAGATAATATTTCGACTTGCAGTAGCCAGCATGAAGAGCGCTGGTAGGAATGCGTGCGTGAGTGTGTGAGTGGAAGGATCTGTATTACAAAATATACCAGGGTAGTAAAATTTTCGAAGTAATGTTTCAAAACAGACTTTTATTTAACTTACTTTTAATTAATTTGAATTGCTTACATTTTTGTTATATATTCGTATTTTGATTTTTGGAAACTACATTTCCGCCATTCGAGGGAGGTGCAACCACCAGTCTGTTGGGGCACCAGCCGCCACTTGTATCCATAAGAAGTTACTAACTTGTAGATAGAGAAGGCGTGCACGTTTGCCTGTCAGCACCCTCTTTTGTATGACTGGTCAAGACAGTGTTATGCCACACTCTGTCGGTGCAGAGCCGTCAAATGTCGTGGAAACGTGCAAGCAAGTGCCGGTATGCCTCGCTGACGCCAAAGGGAGAAAAATTGGCATCGGAGTTTGATAGCGGCAAAATGATCGATCTCCAAAAAAGCGGGTTTGTTGTACTGTGCCATTGCGAATCGACGCGCGCGACGTGCTGCTACGACAGTGATGTGTGTGTGGAACCAGTGGATAGAAGAGGTTTGCCTAGCAGCTCCCTCCTTTGTGGGACAAGTCAGTGTTACACTCCACTCAGTGGGTGTAGAGTCGTCACACAATGTGCAGGCAAGTGCAGGTAGGCCTCGCCGACGCCAAAGGTCGCAATTTCAACTTTTGCGTGAGTTCGAACGGGGCAGAATGATCGGACTTCAAAAAACGAGTTCGTCGTACTGTGACATTGCGGCTCGAACGGGACACGCTGCTAAAACAGTGATGCATGTGTGGAGCCAGTGGATAGAGGAGGGTCGTACACAGCAACAAGCGGGTACTGGAGCACAATGTGGCCGCAGCGCGAGATGGCTACCATCTGTCCACATGGCCATAACGGCGTCGTCCACAGTGTTGGCTCGACATTGGAGCACTGCATCGGGTGTAGTCATGTCTGCGTCGTCAGTTTGACGCCGGCTGCTGATGGCTGGACTGGTGACACGCATACCACTGCATAGCATTCCGTTGACCAGAAAACACCAAAGCCTCAGACAGCATAGGGTACGTGAATGTGTTCACCGGTGTGCAGAGTGGTAAAATATAGTGTTTTCGGACGAGTCCCGCTTCGAATGTTTGGTTCAGCAATGGCAGAGTGCGTGTTAGACATTTCAATGGTCATCGTAATCTGCCAGCCTGCACTGTTTCGCGCCATAGGGTACAAACTCCAAGTGTGATGGTTTGAGGAGTCATTGGCTATACTTGGCTTTTTAGTTCTTGGCTCCTGAGGGTCTGTCTTTACGATGGCATATCTCACTGCATTTCGCGTCTTTCTCGGTGGTGCCGCTAGATAGTCATACGTTCCGAACCGTTTTTAGCAGTGCTGGCGATTATGCGACATCTAGTGGCATGACCGAGAAAGAGGCGAAATGCCATGAGATATTCCATCGTGAAGTCAGGGCCTCATCGCCAAGAAATAAAAACCCAAGTACACAATGTGCGATCTGGCCTCGTATCATACGTAATGAGGACAATCGAAACAGCATTTGGGAAGTTTTAGAGCTCGATGTACTGCCTCTCCTGCAAACAGCTCCACATGCCATAATTCAGCAGGACAATGCCCGATCGCATGCGGCGATGAATGCTCAAGATTTCAGCGAACGACGGGTATCACTGCTTCCCTGGCCTGCATGTTCGCCTGACAGGTCGCCCATCGAACATGTCTGGAATACGATCGGTCAGCAACTTGTTCGTTCTCTCTTGCAGTCACTGTCAATGCCTTGTGGTCACGCATAGACACCGCGTGGAGGTGTGTTCTCCAGTAGCATATCCAGGCTCACTTTGAATCGATGCCACCACGTCTAGAGGCTCTGATGGCAACGCATGGCGGCTTCACACCGTACTAAATACTCAAAGTCAAAATGCAAGATTCTAATCATTTGTATATTGTGACATTCCTTATCTGTGGAATAAATTTAATTGTAATAGTATATCTCCTTCTTGGCGTTCTCACAAACACATTTTCACAAACACCAGTGCATTACGCCATTACGCTCGTGCTTGCGCGGCGTAATGTCGTTCGTTGTATGTTATGGCGGAAGCGAGCCCATTCTGTCTTGTCCACTAAATGGATACGAACGTTTTTAACATCTGACTAAAGCATTATAACATATAGTAAATATATGTTATGTATTGTGTATTGCAATAATTACAAATTATCAATTAACAGTGATGCTCTCGTAACTCAGGGAGAAACTTGCTTGCCTCTTCCCATCTAAGGTTCCGGGTTCGATTCCCATAGAATCCCCATAGAATCTCAAGTGAAATTTGTTACGACAAAACAAGTTTGTTTTACAGGGGCTAGTCCAACCCCTGTGAAGCTTTCTAAACCTTACCCCTATCCTTATTCCTTCCCAATTCTGGCCGATGGGTAGATGACGCGAGCGCGAAGACGCTCCCTGCCGCCGATTCCCTGACTTGACTGCGACTGACGTGACTACGACTACCCAGCGGCCCCTAGAGGGCTTTTGTACAGGATGATCATTTCAATTGTAAATGTTAACGGAGGATTACTCCATAGTGCGCTCAACGCTCCGGAAGGAGTTAGGAGTCGCGTTGCGTCTATATAGACAAAACATTTTGTTTTTAATTGAAGGATTACCTAATTTATTCTTCTACTCAAAATTAAAGGTCTTTTTACATGAAAAAGTTTTTCCATTCCTGATTTCTAACCAAAGAGCTAGAATGTACTATAATAATACGGGAAAGCGCACAAACCTGCATGGTTCATTCTCTTTACTTTTTGATATAGAGAATATTGAGGGAGTCAATATGTTACACTTTCACTGTTCAATCACTTTTTGGATGTCTTTATCGCCTTCACCACATCACTGCGAGTTTCACCAATTCCATTTATTATTTTTATTCCGTGCTGAGTTTTGAAATAAATGTGTTCCTTTTTCCCCATTGTAGGGCATGATACCTATCACGTAATTCCTCACGCCATTCACACACACACACACACACACACACACACACACACACACACACACACACACACACACACACACACTGGTTGCTTGGTTCGTGAAAACTTTTCGTTTTACATACTTAATGGTGAAATCCATGCACCGCAAACCTTGACACCGATTGCCTTAGGTCATAGCATCTTCCCATCTTTTCTGTTGTAGTCATTGCATCCGTTGTGTAAAATTCTTCCCGCTTTTCAACAATTTCTTCCTTTTTCTCTCTTAGTTCCTTCGTTAATTCTTCGAGGCGTTGTGTGTTTGGTAGTAGCATTTGGCATCGCAGTTCTTCCTCGTAAAAGGGTGATAGCTCATACACTAGTCGTGAAGGAGGAAACTTGGACATCCCTACAGCTTCCTTCTGATGGGTGGGTTTCACTTTAACTATTTCTTTCAAGTCTCTTTTATTCATCTGTTCCCAAATGATCCGTACGTAATTACCGGAGTTATTTTCAATCGGAATAATTATATTGCTGTTTCGAGAGAAATTTGTCGTAGGTGTGAAATTTCATTCATCGCAATAATTGCTGCTGAGGTTCTCTCTTTGAGAACATTTCTAGTTATCCGATTTGTCTACAACGCTCGTTGATATAATTTATTCTTAATTAAACTAATGTTGACAAATAAGTGGGGGTACATATTAAGGGGCTCAAGAAGACGTGCGCGTATATTATATACCTTGGCCCAAGCATCTATTGACCAAGTCCGTTATTGTCACATTCATATGTCTCCATCAGGCTTTTACGAGTTTATAATGTGCCATAGTATATTCTAGCTCGTTGTCCCTAACATTCATTGTTGTAAACGAGTTCACCTAAGAGAGAATTTGTGCTGTTAAAATCGGCGACTGTAAGTGCTTTTCGATTTGTTTTGTTGGTACCTAACAAATAACACGAGCGCGGCAGCTGTTCAATTATCCAATCAGCTTGTGATACAGAGAACGTGAAATACGATGAAATGTTGATGTTGAAACCAGGTTAAGTTGGTTATTTTGAGGAAATTAGGCTTTGGTTCAGATGTGTGATGAAAGAGATGTTATTTTTTGAATTTATTGTAGAATTTTGTGAAATGTATGAATAAGCGCTTTAGACCTGACTCAGTTTAATATATTTGGGCATTGGATTCTATGTTTTGACGAATTCTGTCAATGGAAAAGCCAGATAACGGAGATTGGATTGTCCGGTGTTCAGATGAAGAATACAGTGAATGTGAAGTAAGTAGACGGGGTTAAACATACATATTGTAATAAGTTTTTTCGAATGTACTAAGATTTTTCTGCAATGAGCATGCGAAAATATGACAAACTTACTTTTAGCCTGATTATAAAATAGTACAATATTGAGATGTGACTGTTTTACTTCCTAAAAAGTTTGAGCATATATTATAAAGCCAGGAAATAAATTTCATAGACATTTTTATACCCTGCCTATTCTTGCTGTTTGTGTAATTAGATATTTTTCTTCAATCATTTTCTGAGTAGGAAGTTTGGTACATTATACCACAACTTTAAAAGATCATTGGCATAGCAGTCAAAAGTTTGAAAAAACCATGTGTTGTAATCTACAATTGTGAATGTAATCAATAATAAATATGTATAAGAGACAAAGTATCTCCCTCCTCTCAATGCCAAACCCACTACTTGACAAATCTTGATGGACTATCTAATGTAAAATAGTTTTTTCTTCTGTAAAATTGGCAAATATTTACAGTTGCTTCAATGTTCTTCTGCAGCCTCGCGACACGTCAAGCGACATGGCCTTCAGTCTTCATTTTGATAAGTGCATTGTGACGAATAGCATTTTCTTCAATGTTTATGAGTAATAGAAATTTTGCGAAATCTAACTTTCTATAGTGACGCATCCTTTATTACATCTTTTTTAGATTTAGATTTTATACTTCAGTCAACATAAGCCAGCGTAAAAACTGTAATGTGACTAAGCGGAAAAGTTTTCTGCACACTTTAACTATACTTGGTAATAAACTAATTCATAACTTGCTGATGAAATTCACTTAGACATTTTATTAGAAAAAGAATTTATCGTGTAATATGGTTTTTGCCAAATTCCAAGTTTCCCAGTTTATCATAATCCTTTAATTTGGCTCTAGGGGGTATACATTTATCTGTTGCTTCTTTTTAGTTTGGATTAAATTTGTTTTGAATTTCAAATTATAGCATTTATTTTCTAACTAGTGAAAACATCAAGGATGTTTCTTTATTGTTTGTTTATATGTTGCTTTGTTAATAACTCCTTTTTTTGTGTCTGGTTGCATAATTTGCAAGGATTCTTTGTTGATAGAGTTGTCAACAGAAATTTTACTTTGTAGGGAGAATGGGAGCCACCTCCTGAAGAAATTATTCGATTGTATGAACTTCTAGATCAGAAGGCTGTTCCAAATCTAGAATGGAAGTGTCCAGGGCGACGAGCACCTTCACCAGCACAAGATGAATTCTACCATGAGGACGAAGAATCTTTGGAATCAAAGTATGCACTACATTCTCTTGCTGTACACGTTCATGTTGACAAAGATTGATGCACATCTTCCCTAAAGAACCAGTGCTTTATCATTTTGCTTAGTGTAAAAAGTTTGCATTCCAATGCAAATCGAACATTGTATAACACTTCCTCAAGGAGATTCCCATATAAATAGAATAGGAAATTTTTTGTAAATTTCCTCTATAGGCCATTGAGATTATGAGTACAAAACTGCATGGCATAAGAAAGAATACAAAATCTGTATATTATGTTAACGGAGGCTCTTCTTATTGAGAAAACAATAAATTAAAGACCATTAAATAATTATACTCAAAATGTACACAATATTTTTAGTGTGTATTATGCCAGAGAAATGAATAAAGACTTGTATAACCTGACTCACTTAAATATAGTTTTCAGAATGTGGATAATTTTGTTGGTTCCCCCATTCCTTGTTTCTAATTTTATTTAACATCAAAAATGTAATTCCCACATGTATATTTATTAACAGCTCAGATTTAATAATTACTCCTTGAATTAGTTTCTTCATATGACTGATTCCTTGTTTTTGCCTTTTTGCCTAAATTCTTATTTTAAGTACCTTTGAAGTTTACTGCATGTTTTAACGTTATAAATTCTTAAACGAACTTGAAAATTATTTTGTTTTTATGCTGAATTTATATTAATTAACAGTTGCTTCTCATTGATTTCATGGGGTGGTATAACAATAAGGGATCTTTGTCATAATTTTTTTCACCCAGAGATATAAACGAGTTACATTTTCTCATTCATTCTGGAAAGAGATGTTAAAACAAATAAAGTGTGTAATTATTCCCTCAAAAATGAGTATTAAGCATCATAATTAGCGAGCATCAGTATTTGAAAAATAAATTAAATCTCCAATAAATTATTTGAAATTCGCCATAGATTTAATGACTTATTAATGAGAATTTTTAATGTCCTGAGTTGCACATTTCTTATTCCCCAGTTCAAGGGAATTTATATTCTTGTTTTTGCTACAGAACATTTATAAAACTGGCTCGTACCACTATTTGTTAGATTTTTATATGAACATCATTATTCAAAGCTTTCTTCGCTGTTTTTGTAGTTTTTTATGTCTCTCTTCAATATACAATCTCAGATGCAAAATACCAACTCCATTTAAAATGAATAGTATGCAGAATTCAGTTCATCACGCTACCCATTCAGAATATTTTCAAATTCAGTCAACCTTTGTACTGCCAGTTGTGTGTACTTTGATAATGCTCATTCCTATAGGCATAATATCCAGAGGAAACATGTAGCTCCTAGGCTTTTAGATTGCAGGGGGGGAAAAATGTTTGAAAAATAAGCAAATCCTATTCACATAATTCTTGTAAGCCATTCGTTATTATTAGAATTTCTACTATTTCCTTGCCTCTTGATTTACATATTCGTGTGTATCAAAAATGCGAATTTTGACACTCAAGAGCGGGAACATATTTTCAGCCATACATATCTGTAACGATAACTATCAACATGGTAATAACATTTATCATGTGTCAATATCAACAGCACACTTCAACGATTCAGAAACAATACATGCGTATATCACATCACGTTCTGAATAACATGAATCTATTAAAATTGATTGAACAGTTTATGCGTCAAGTGAAATCTTTTCTGCTGCATAATTGTTTCCATACATTCAGAGTCTACACCGAGCATCAAAAAAGGATATTGATTTTAAGTGACATTTAATATATTGGTTATCATTTAGTCGCTATATTTCTAAAGGACTAATAAGCCTGTAACAAGTATTGTATCTGAGTTTCTGGGTCAATGACCTCCATGTTATTCATGTTATATGTTGTTTCCTTGATCCTTTGAGCAAATACTGTGATAGCCCCCAAATTTTGCTTCTGAACCTAAATGAAGCTTACTATCTCTACATGTTTTCTAGAGCTCAATGGGAAATGTAGTTATTCAAATAATCATATATTAAGTTCTTGGGGACAGTAAGTCAGTTCTGTCATGAAAGACATGTTAAAAGATAATTGAAAAAGTCTACACCTGATTTGCCTTTTCAAATACTTATTACATTGGAATGAATATTTTCATAACAATTATTGCCAAAAGGCTCATTGCTATCTGTATTCATAATTCAATGTATTGTATGATTATGTACATATCCTTACTTGTCATACATGGCTTATGCTGCATTAATGTGACATTATTATTATTATTATTATTATTATTATTATTATTATTATTATTAAACTTGAAATGTACACGAGTTAGAGCAGTGATCCCCAGAGCTAAAGAAACCACGCACGTCTCCCCGTAGTACATCACATACTTCTTAATTGTTTTTGACGTTAAATAAATGAATACAATATTAAGGAATTCATCCAGGATGTAAAAAATGTTATATTTAACAACTGTCAATAAAGGAAAGCAGTTTCTACAGCAAATTCTGTCACATTGTTCTTGCACATTACCATGAGCACTATTCAGTCCAATTGTTTTTGCTACTTATTATGACCTTGTATTCAATTAACCTGTGATATGCAACTCACAAGCTCAGGTAAGGTATTAACTGAAAGTTTTGGGATTTTCCAATATGTAGACAGTATCTTGGAGTTTTCTATCAGGTATGTTGCCAATTTGGAAGAACCTCACAATATTTTGCATTATGTTTCATGTATTAAAGTTATTAATTCATCTAAGAGAGAAAGTGCAAGCAAGGCATTCTACAATTTGGAGAGAGAAAAAAGTATAAATCCTACTACACATTTGGCTCCTTTTTGCCCTAATAATTAAGGGAAGATAACTGAAGTTAATAATGAGACTGAAAAATGTTATATATTAATGGATCATTTAAAAAAGTTAATTTTATTCCCTTTTAGTAGTATAATGAAAAATGAATGTTCTAGCAATATTTTTGTGATATTACTTTGTTAACTTCAAGCCAGAAATGAATGTATCTTGGGATTAAATCTGTAAAACTGTTTTAAGTTCCATATAAAATTTTACTTGCTTTTCTTTGAAGACACATTTGTTTAATTTTCAGAGAGGAGGGGGGGGTGAGGGTGGAAATGTAATGTTCATTGTGTAGGAAGTGTTAGTGATACAAACGGGGAGGGAGGGTTAAAAAAAAACTAAATTTTGCATACATATTTTTGAATTGACACTAATGATAAATTATACATATTTCCTAAAGTCTTCCATGCCAAATTGGTTAATGAATTTAAATCTCCCACAAAAAACATTAATATTTTGTATATCTGTTAAAAGTTAAATCACAGGAAAGAAAGAATAATATAAAAAGAACATGTAAATGAATAAAAAAAGTTGTGGAAAAATTCACAAAACATCAAGTATTTTCTTTTGTGATTTTCCAAATTAGTGCTTCTTCACTCTACACTTTTCTCCTGAAGAAGTCATGAGATTAAATCATTTTAACACAATGTGTTGTAATAAATGATGTCCTTTATTTTGTCTTGCTATGTTAATTACTTTTTCTAGAACAATCCTTGATTTGAAAATTCCAAAAGAGATCTACTTAAAGTTATACAATTTGTTCAAAATTCTATTTTATATAGCAAGTATTTAGTAAGACATCTGTTCTGGAGTAGGCTTTCATGCTTTTTCATATCAAACAAGAGCATTAATTGTATTCTATTATTATTATTTTCTTCTTTTTTTTTCCAGACCAGAGGAAAAGTCAGATTTCGATTTCATGGACGAAATGTCTTCACCCAAGCTGCCAGTAAGAAGGGGAGGTGAAGGTGGCCCCAAGGGCAGTGCTAAAAAGAAAACCACAAGTCTTGATGATGTTCTTTCTAACATGAGGAGACATCGGAAACTGGAGCAGCTTGAGAAGCAAGCCAGCAATTGTCCTCCTTGTTCTTCGCCATCGTGAGGATACATTTCACATGAAGCATTAAATGCATTATTTCTTTGAATTTCCACATAGTCTCCTTGTATAAAGTTTTATATAAATTCTTTGTATGTGTCAATACACGTTATTTACCTAAAACTATTTCTGTATGTGTTAAGTTTCCTGAAGTTTTCTTTTTCAGAATTTTTATTTTAGAAGTTAGGGATAGTGAAAAAGAAAGTTGTTAAGATAATCATAAGGCACACTATTGCTGCTTTCAGATCCATATCCTCTCATTTCGGGTTTGATTTGTCCCTCTCACCAACCCCTTCACATATTTTGAGAAGAACGTACATAACAAAAAATGTTACAACAAATAAGGTGCTTAATCTACTGATACTCATAGGCACAGTGATTTTTTTTTTTATTGTTTGGAATAGTTATTAATCTGTTCTGCATCTATTTATGGGTTCTGATGAAAGAAAGGTATCTGAAGGGATTAACATAATTGTGTTTATCCGTCAGCTTTGCGCATCTTAAGTGTTTGCTAACATTGTGAATTAGTGAAGTGTGTTTTTCTTCTTTCTTTTCCTCTTCAATTTCACCCACCTTAGCAATCAGGCCTAGACCCAATTGATTCAATGCTCTTCACGACGTTTTGTAGGTTTTGAGAACACATGATTTATGGATCTTCAACCCGTGCATTCTAGATTGCTTTTATTTAAATATAACTCGTGTCACCTTGGCAGTATCTCTGGAGACTAAAACGAAAACCCATTTTGGTGAAGAAAACGTGTGAATTACATCAACACCCTTCTAATAGTTGTCTAATGAGTCTCAAACTAAAGTGACAATACACACACTAATGGTCTCCACTAGTTATGCACATCCTGTCCTTAGCACAAAGAAGGCATTCCAAAACCTACATAATAAAATATGTTGAGTGTGACTTGTCATTGGAGTAGAAAACCAACTTTTTAAGGTCAAGCCCTATGACATACATGCACAAAGGTTACAGGCAAGTTACGTGGTTGAACACTACCAGGCAAATGCTGAAGCTGTACCTTAACAAATGAGCCAGACTGCGTGTGGCCTTTTTTCTCATTCTTCTGTACCCTTACACAAATGTACACACATGCATGTAAGTGTCAGTAAAAGGAAAGAAGAAAAGGGAAGGATCTGAGACCCACAGAAAACCTCATCAAAACAAGTAAGCTGGAATTCTCCTTCAAACAGCATCTGAATAAGCATCTCTTCAACTTGGCTATACTACTAGAGTTGAAAATACACCACCATTGGGACTTTCCCTAGGACCAGCAGACTGACTGCTGGCTCTGACGTAACCCAGCCAGTCTAAAAATGGGTTGCATGAATAGCTATAAATATTTTTTTATTAATAATAAAAAAAATAAAAAAACTACACACAGCTCTCTCTCTTCAAATTGAATACTAGTCTGATCTTTACCAAGCAAGTACAGGTGAGACATATGTTGTTTTTAATTTAATACGCAGGAAAAAAATATGTACAGAAAAAAATGGGCACAGATATTCTTTGTTCACTACTTCACTGAATTGTGGTACTTCCATTCAGGAAGGTAGAACAATCAAATCACAAATTAGTAGGTACTGGAAGTTGAAATCAGCAATATGGCGCTAATTTTTAGTGACTTCATAAAACAATAGGAGTAGGATCAATCACTTGTGGATCTAATTTGGTGACTTCTGTTGGAAAATGGTCACGGATAATTATTTTCTTCTTGCTGTGATTTTCCAATGTATCAAGATGTCCAAACCAGTATATTACAAGTCCAGTTCCAAACCTAAAGGAATTGTACAAAGAATATTTTAACATTTACCAGCATTACAGAACAAGATTTTGAATGGGAAAAGCAATTCCTTTCAACTTACCTGTTCCAGTAACTAAGAAATTGATCTTTTAAGAAATTTTGATGGCATTCTTCATCTCCAAATAAGGCTTTGCTTTCTATCCAATTAACTACAAAGCCATCCACAGCAAATGGTATTTCTAACTTAATATCAGGAGTTTTATCATAACCCTTTGTTCGCATCTTTTCTTCATCTGAAAATGGAATGCCAAGTTCTTGTACAGCCTTCTGAAGTTTATACTCATACTCTTGACCAGTGGAACTGGAATATAAAATCATGGAAGCAAAGATTATCAAATTAGAAAAACTTATGGTTTGTTTCATTGCAAACAAATAGTGATTTTCCATTATCCTGTGTAAGTAAAACATCCTTCTCTGCATTCACAACAAAAACTGCAGAAAGTCATAAAATAATGTAATGACACTCATAAACTTTTCAACTTTATTACAAAATTATAATACAATTAAAATCAGAACTGTCTGAAAATATTATCTTGTTATACCTTAAATCAACCTCATTACAGTATCACTGTTTACAGAGTATGTTTTCAGGCTTTTGTATCGTTCATACCATGGACCTAATTTGCAAGCACTAAATGTATTGACAACTACATAATTATCTACAATTCAAAGCCTTCTGGAAAAAAATAGGTTTCTCCAATTTAGTCCACTTTGAGAGAATTGAAAAAATGAATATAAAATTTAAATTTGTAGCAATAATGCAATACAGAGCTAGCTTTCACTGCTGAAATATAGGCTCAAAGGGAATAATACTCTCCCATTAAAAAAATAAAAAAGAAGTGGTTGATTTTAAATGTTGATTCAGATGCACAACTCTACAATCTCTTTGTCTAATTAACTAATGTGAACTTCACTGAAAAACAAACTTAGATCTGTCTACTCATGTATATGTCTAGAAATACAAAAATAGAAGATGCATTGACTTTTTGCAAAATACTTGACTGGAAGGGAAATAATTAGGGCAAGTACATTAAATAAAGGTTTTGAAATACTATGAAATTGCCTTTATATTGAAATTAAAATCTGTGAGAACTTACCTTTTTTCCCTAATTCAAAGTTATGCTAAATTGTCAAGATGCTCTTCCATTGCTACCTCTCCAAAATAATTATCAGTTCTAATAAATCAGCATAATTGGGGGAAGAAGAAATTCAGTGTTCCTCGGACTAGATGTTTCTAATTATGAACTGCTGATATACTCCCACAAAGCACAGAGGGACTTAGCTCACATGAGAGTGAAACAGAAATGAACAGATTTTCTTTTCAGGAAATGAAAGTAGCTCCTATGGGGGTTTTGAAATTGAGTTCAAATGTGGTTCTAATGGTAACTATTGACTGTATTTAATGGCAGACATTTCATTGCAAAAAGTTTTAACACTCTTTGAAATTTCATAGAGTGGTGTAGTAAGATAAAGTGCTGGATGAGTGCAGGGTGCATAAAAAATATGTAAAACAGTTTTGATAGGATAATATTTCATATGGCAAATATTTAAAGTTTTTACTGCATAAATGAATAATATTTTGTATATCCAAACATTAATGCATGTATATCCAAACATTCTGGGGGATTCTGGACAACAGGAATTCTGGAACTCAAGAAAACATGCGCAAATTATGTTTTCCCCCTATGCCACATACAGTTTTTCCTGTTGTTTTGACTGAATAAATCTAAACATCATTCATCAGCCTCAATGACCTCAGCAGGGCCCTAAGGTTATCTTACATGTAGACTGTTTTCTACTTTACACATGATGTCAAGGTGTTTTGATTACTGACATTTACTTCCTTTCCAGAGCCATCACAATTTTAATGTCCAAAAAAATAATCTGCATTTTGAGAGATCATTGAAACAGCATATTATTACCGAAACAATCAACACTACTATCACCACACTGTTGAACTCGATACAAAGTACACATTAATGACGAGCCTAATATTACTTTTAAAGTAAATGATATCCCATTTTTTATAACGTTTGATAATTTTAAAAAATCTTTAAACTATTCTACAAATAACTAAATGTTTTACTCACTAATTTACACACTCTGAAATTGGCCCATACTGATCATCATGTAGAATACACTGTAAAAAAATATCTTTTTTATATTTCTAGTTCATATAAATAAAATAAGAATTCCAATATAAAAACAGAAAAACAGAATCTCTACTTACCAAATATATTTCGTAAGACAGAATTGGATCATCAATAAGGCTGGTGTCTTTCATTACTTGAGTGATCATGTTCTTACATGAAACTGAGAAATAAAAAAAAGTATTATAAAAATTTAGGAGTAGAACTTCATAAAAACATATTGTGTAAAATCTAACCCTGTGAATCATCTTTAAGGGTCTTCTCTTCATAGTGCTTTTCTAAAATCATTCTTGCCAAAAGAGCTGGGGAAATGTCAAGTTCTTCTGCCATTTGCAAGAGAACACCTGTTGAGGAAGGTATCCTTCTGAGATACCTGTTAGAAAAATGTAAGGTACAATAAGAAAACTCTTTCAAAACTGTTTGAGACAGACCTTCATCCTTTGTGAATGATGCACAATCAAATTATTATCTACATTTACATTTGAAGAAAACTGTATTACAAAATGTGAATTCACTGAAACCTTTATTTTATTTTAGTACACAATAATTCAACCCTTTGTTTAAAAAAATTTCAAAGAAAGATTAATTTGATTTATCACTTCTGATATTCAATAATTAATCTAACAACAAAACCATGTACTTACACTTTGTACCAGTTGTCTACACATTTGAAATGTTTTGGTCTTTCACGTTTCATTTTTCGTTGATATTCAAATGAGTATATGTTCCTAATTGTCTTCTCTGGAATACTGTCAAAATACAATTTGTAATAATTAACTGTAAGAATCACACAAAGATCATAAGAAGAAGATAAGAATCACAATAGTTCAATATATAAACCCACTCAGGAAAAACAGCCTTTATCTCTGCCTCCAGAGTCCTCTTAGATCCTATTGTAGATCCTGTGTATGACCGTATCATAATGATTATCGTATTAAAATCTTCTTCCTTCATGTCGGCGAATTTCTACACAATTTTCAAATACGTAACGCCGTATATACAATTCTTGAACTCACTAACACTAACCAAAACTTCAAAGGCAGGCATTGAAGCTTCCCACCACCACAGAGGACAGTGTATTTGTTAACAAAGGCTACATTTCACCGTGCTGCCAACATTGTAGACGATGGTAAACGAAATTCGTTGTGTATTGCCATCACATCTTCCAACCTAATAGTTTTAATCTAAACACCTGCATCACATGTAGGCAAATGAAGTGCAACTCCAGAAGCTAGTGAAGCAAGGAAACAAAATGGAAATTAGGCCAATAAGAGTCACAAGAAGAAATGAAGGCAAAGTCAATGTACCACGAAAAGTTCCCGCCTTTATGTAATTTTCGCTTTTAAATTAATACATTCACACGCTTTTTGGGAAATTTATAAAGAGATCAGTAACACAAACGAATGCAGTAAAGACAAATGAATGCAGTAAGTGTAATAGTAGTATATAACCACACGGCTTCGTAAGAAACACATATCCTATGCCCTGGTATATGTGTATTTTGGTTTTATCCGTCTTATCCTGGTCTTATCCCTTGTATCGGGACGACTCTGACGTCGTGACATTGGTGAACAAAATCGAACAAGTGGGGGGGAAGGAAGGCATTCCGTTTTAGTTCGAATGACAATGTCATTCAGTCTACGTTGTTAAAATGACAATTAGAAATTATGAATTGTTAGGCTCAAGGATGTTTTGTATTAGTAGCGTCGACGCCCTACTTCGACACAGCGACGTGTGAAATGTCAAGTTAAAAGTGTTGAACAAAAAAGTTATATGGTATAATGTGCGTTGGATAGCAAACATCAACTAGATTGTCTAGGTGGCGTTGGATAGATTCAAGGATGCTTTATGGTAATCGCATCGGCCCAATGCCTGGGTCTTGCCGTGTTGTTGGCCATACGTAGCGAGGCGTCACTGCGCCTTTTAAATTTGAGGTTATAAATAAATACGACCCTCGCGCGGCGCGGTAGTGATCGCCGTGTTTTCGCGGGAATTCGTTCGTTACGGTAAGGGATAAGAACAAATTATTTTATAGTTATTTTTACAAGTGCTCGCATGTGTTTATTAGAGACATTCGGAAAACATTTTATGTCTTATTTACGGTGTAAGTATGGTTGCCAGATATCTGAATTTCTTCGCGCTTGTCCGTCAAGAGAATATTGGTAAACCGGACAAAAAATTGACTTTTTAAAGATATTTCGTGTAATATCTATCTAGCGCCGCCAACATTTATTAAAAGCAATTATATCAAATGCCAAATATAGTATAAAGAAGTAGAATTTAAACTCTTTCCTGTAATTTTTAAAGAGCTAATAAAAAACAAGTCCGTTTTTTCTTTTGAACACCTCTGGTTAGTCCAGGCGTAAGAGAATACACCTATAATACTTCTTACACCGAGACATAAACAGAGCCCTGCTTCCCGTCACTTTTTTCGCATTCGTTTACCGATCTAGATGTAAAAACTGACTCATTGCGATAACGGCTAGATCACGGTGAAAGAAGACTCAAAACCGTGGTTTACAGATTTCGAAGGACAAGGACATTCTGATTAGTAATTTGAAATTATGGGTTACACAGGCTCGAGGATTTTTATATAGTACTAGCGGACCCGACAGACTTCGTCCTGTCAAAAAAGATGTGTAATGTGTGTGATTTTTTTTTTGTTCTACATCATAATTCTCAGTCTGGGCAAAAAATTCTCCTGAAAGAAACCGTCACGCTGGTGATAGGGCGTTGTGAATAAGAATATAATTAAATTAAACATATATAACAGCTTTAAAAGTAAGTAATCGCTTTATTGTTAATCATATGGAATCATAATTAATTACAAAAATCAGTTTTATTTTATTGTAGTGCTTTGTGATGTACGATGTTTTTTTGTTTGATTACCTGGCGCATAGAAAACAAATCTGATGTTTCTAACACGGGAACAGGCAACATACAATTGACCGTGTGAGAAATATGGGTTTCAAGATTAATACACAAACTTAATGATTGCCCTGGAACTAGTTTATGGTCAAGCAAAAGCAAGCCGAACTGGAAACTGCAGTCGTTTAAAGTCAAACGGCTCATCAGTCGGAAACTCATTGGGATTGCGGTATGAGGACGTCTCCTCCTTTATACCTCT